GGGATTTTGAATTTAGAGATTTTGGAATTCGAGATTTTGGATTTTTCGGGATTTAGAGTTTCGAGATTTTGGCTTTTTGAGATTTTGGATTTCGAGATTTCGTAGCATACCCGATATGTTTTACCATGAGAAACAATATCTAAAAATTTCTTATTATCAGAAGTACCATTATTCCTTACCATCTCCCAAACCTGTTTTGCTAAAGATTTAGGTTTTTTTTTGTAATTCCTATAAGCTCACTGGATAACTACGGCATAGAAATTCTCAAACTGATAGTTATATTATTTCGCAATTAAGAATCCTCAAGATCGCTTCATTAATCTTCCTGAACTTCTCGAAAAATATTTTATTAAAATAGTTATAGATTAGAAGATCTAACCTAGAATAGGTAAATAATGCATAGCGTCTGTAGGTGATACATTTTATGCATAGCGCTTTCAACCAATTTTACTAGACGATTATGCATGCAGATTATATAGCTATCATTTTACAAAAAATAAAGTATAAGCTATATTTGACTAAATATAATTAATATACATAATGCTAATATTCAGTTGAAAGATATAAAGTCTATTTTTTTCCTATATTTATTTACACAGAATCAAAATATGCTTTAGCAAGATCGCCTAAAATAGTTTTGCTAGAAATATTAGGCATATTTGATCGATTATTCCAAAGATTTCTAATCTTAGATGCATTTACATTATATTGCATTAATGCAACAGGCTTTTGTGATAATGGAGAAGAAGTTGGCCCATTTAGTGCTTCAGATTTTTAGTCATTACCATAGGTAATGGAAATTGGTAAAACCATTTTTTGCTTGGCATTAGAAATACAAGCTAGCATAGTATTTTTTGCTACAGTTGCTTTAGATTGTACATAATTTTTATAGCTAACCATAAAATTCGCATCATGATCATATAATACCAATGCCAACTTATCCTTTTCTGAGTATAAAGTTGATTAGGAGAAAAGCTCTAGATGAAGATGATTAATTTTAACCTTTTCTCATAATATGTATTGTTTATATTGCCAGATTTGAAATTCTCTATTATTGATAGATTTGAGAATTTCTTTTCTTCTTGCATATTCATTCGAAATAGTATTTTCAAAAATACATTTTTTCAAGTGATCATCATGATAGAGACAAGCGCTATAAAGTGATTGATATAAATTTTCTTCTTTTCAACCCTTTGTGAATCGTGCTGCATGTGCTGGAGCATTATCATCTTGAAAAGTATGGCTATTAGGTCCAAGTTCATTAAAAAAAGGTAAAAGATAACATTTAAGTAATTTTACATACTTTTCAGCATTTAATTTTCCCTCAATTAGTACTAATGGTCTTACTTTAAAATTGCAAAAACATCCTAAACTATAACTCCTTCTGACTTTTGAACTGTTAGAATTAAACAATCTTTTGCATATGCCTTATGAACTCTACGCTAAACCTATTGATTAGCGTTATTTTTAAATAATTTAAAACAAGATTCATCACTAAAAATTATAAAATTCTATTTATTTTGCCAACTTTTTCTAATATGACACCAAAGTAAACATTTTTTTTATTTATATCAGAAACTAAAGGTTTTTTCCTACCAGTATGCCTATAGTAACCCATAGAATGCAGTGCTCGCTTAACAGTTTTACTACTTAATGAAATATTAAGACTCTGATTAAATTGTTTAGTAATTTCTTTTACAGCTTATTTACAGTTTCGTCAGACTATTCTTCCTAGTTGACGTTTATCTTATTCTGATAAAGCTGAAGATCTACCACTCTTAAGTGCAGTATCAGTACAGTTTTCTTTATTGTATTTTGTAATTACATCATGGACAGTAGATTTTGGTTTGCCAAGAATTTCTGAGATGTTTCTTATGCTATGTCCGCCCTTTGATAAATCTACGATTTCTCCACACTTAAAAGGTGTAAGCTCGTGAGATTTTGGCATTTTTATGTATTGAAATAATTATTTATAAAAAAATTTTTTTATTTAAAAAAGTGAAGTCGTAGGATTCTGGAAAAAAAAGAATAACGATTTTAGTTAGAAATTGGACGTTCTATTGTTATTTAAAGATTGGCAATATACAGTTAAGTTTGTACAATATTGCAATTGTCCAGATACTTTGTCCTATATATGTATAGTAAAAAAAAAATAATATGTCCATTTTATTTTAGGACATTTATAGAGGAAGAAAAATAGATTAACATCGTGATGATATGTTTTAAGAAGCTAGCTGAACAATAAACTAACATACCTTATTATAACTTTGCAAAATATTCGAGTTCGTTTAATTGTAAATATTGATGATGCAAATAATGATAATCTTGATTGGTTTGAATTTTTTTGTTTTACTTGCGCAAGGCAGATAAAAGGATTCATTAACAGGAACATCACCTTTTTATATAATTTTCAGGATCAATTTTGGAATATACTTGAAGAAAATTAAGTTAATCACAAAAATTTGATCAACAGCTTCTCCTTTAATTTAACAATAAAAAACTTTGATGCTACCCATATGTAAAGATCATCAAGGATTCTTTTTAATAATAATATATATAAGAATTTTGAGAAAGTTTGAGATTAAATTATTTTGCGCAATTACTTATTTTTGTGATTGTGACGTCTTTATTAAATATTACTGTGTATTTATTTATTAAGTTCTAGATTGATATATTAGCATATATGCTTCTTACAATCCTATAACTCACTCCATTTATATCTGAGTTTAGCAAATTAATTGTTCATATGAGATTAAAAAAAAATTCTTTTGGCAATGATATGTACATTTTTTAGGTGATCAAACTGCTTATATTACAATCACAAACTGAAATTTATTTCTTGTGACTAGTAAATCAATAACTATGTATAGCTATATGATAGAATATTTCTATTTATGCTAAGGAGTACTGTATCCCACATCATTATCTTCATCATCAGGATCCAGATTCTCAATTTTCTTATTAAAGGCTGTAATATTATTTAAAGTTAATGAAATGGAATTATCCTCATTGCCTTCATCATAGTCATGAAAAACCTCGACATCAAAACCAAGATCAAAAGGTAGATTTTTAGCTTTTCTTTCACGATCTAGCATTTTATCGTGAGTATTACTTTTTTTGTGTTTATTTAAGATTTTCTTCAATGCGAAACCTTTATCACATACGTCGTACTAATTTTAGATAGCTAAATATAAAATGCTATTTCATTAGCATAATAATTTATCAATTATTGTTCAAACCTAAGAATTATGAAACGTCTACCTTAGACTACAAGATGAATTTTATTTGGATCCAGATTATTAAAATGCAATCTGATCTTTCTGAATCCTTCTATAATTCTGATATCTCCTGTAACAGATTTGACATTTAAGTCAGTGTTTTAAAGTTGTTCAAGTACTGCCTTACTACTAAGATCAATATCTACTGACTATAACTTGATATTGAGACTACTATACTCAAAAGTACTTCTCTAATTTTCCCTTATAGCTTCTCAAAGGTCACAAATAAAATCATTTTCATCAATTTTAATTCTGAACTGACTTTCAATAGGATTCTCTTTAATAACACAATTAAGGGAAATTTTAGTACTTTTGGCTATTTCTTCGTATACGAGCAAATCTATTCTTGAAACTAGTATATATCTATAGATGCCTGCTGAAACCTTCTCAAAATAATTTCGTCATACCATTTTCTATGTTTTTAATATAGTTTCGACAGTTTCAGCTTTCATCGTATTGAAAAGGTTTTATCATATCTCTTATTATGATTTTAATATAGTTTTGTCTAAGTTTTGACTGTTATTAAGGGTTTCGTCCCTCATTATTATATATATCAGTATTTATATTTCAATTTTCAAAGCATCTTTCTTACAACAAACCTGTTATAGACTAGTAATCACTGCGGTTAATGACCTTTGGCCTACAGTATAGGGAAAATTATATTCTTTTTGACAATGGTGATTTCTACACAAAACGCAAAAGTTGTAGATCTCAGCAATTGTAAAATTTTACCACCCACAACATATAATTTTATTACTAATACTGACAAGCCCTTCCCTTTTATAGCTTATTCAGGTTGTCTTCTGTGGTTGTCTTCATTGAAAAGCATTTTTTGTATTTCTTCAAAAAAAAGACGATAATTAATAGCATACGTAACTTATCTAACAAAATAGTCAATACTTCAGACTAGTTGAATCAGGCGAGATCTGTAGATGACATGTTGGGATATGTACCACTAATTCTTATTCAAAAACAGATTGATTTCATTCTTAATTTTGATAATTTTTTGTTTGAGAACCCACATGATAACGATCTCCATGAATATTGCTAATATAATGAGCAGACAAGGCCAAAAATGACATACTTCCTAAAGAGTTGAATAATATCAAACTGGACATGATTAGGTAAATTGATGCATAGTAATTTTATTAAAAGATTATTGGTAGATTAAGTTTTTTTTAGATATTAATAATTGATTTTTTTTTAATATACAATTCTTTTGCGTGAATACGCTGGGAAAAGGTTTATTTTATACTGTATACCTATTACATGTAAAAAGAGAATTTAACCTGATTTAATAAAAATTATGTTGCTTTATTATGTATATTTATCATAATTACATTTTCATAATTATATTTTTCAGCTAAAACAATTATAACGGTCTGGATCCTGTCTAATAATAACAAATGTTCCTCTCTGAATTTGAGATGCATTTAACAATAGTGCTTAAAATAAAATCTGACGAATTACAGTTTTATGACAATTTGATATAATACTAATAGAGCAATGCCGTATCTCAAAATTTTTCATTTATTTTTAAGATCTCTTGTGAAATAGAAGATTATATGTGGTGTATCTTTATTTGAGTTCACAACCCCTATTTCAATTGTAATCACAAAAAATCAAAATATTTATTCATTATAGATCGAGATCTATAGATGACGAATCACACATGTAATTTCTATTTAAAAATGAATTAATGTCTGAGTAACCTGTATATGTAATTTGAATGCGCTAACATCAGTAGAATAATAAAAAATTACTGTTTATCTGAGAATTTGTAAATTATTGATTCTAATCAGCTCTATTTCTATTTTTGAATTTTTTTTTAACGATGCTCTGTCTTATGATCCGCAAAATGTAAATCAGGGATATGATTTTTTATTAGTAATTTAGAATTGCGTAATGAGTGAGATAGAACATATCAGAACTTCTTTTAGCTTAACGTTGGGGAAAGTTTATCAGTATAACAACACAAAAATATTGGGTTTATTAATAGATTCTCTGCCTTAGCACCTTTAGTAAAAATGATGATTGCAGATGCCAGTGATGTACTACTACGCCTAGCATATTTTACAGATTTACATAGACCAGTAACGTGTTACTACAGAATGCTAAAGAAATTTAGATGATGTTTGCATGTTATCTAAGCCACCTACGTGATTCAAAAAAAAAGAAATGAAGTAATAACAATTCAGCCAATGCGAGTATCTTAGGCAGTCACTGGAGAGATGATGAGACTCATTACTGACTGAGATACAGGATTATCAAAATATGTCTTATGCTCTAAAACTTCTATGATGATTTTATTAAGATAATTAGTAGCATTTTTATCAACCGGCTTAACTTTATTCGCTTTCTCCTCAGAGAAATAATCTTCTAGATCAGGCTTAGTTGATGTTTTATCCTCTAAATTTACTATCCTTACTATTTCTTCATGTGTGAGCCTTTCATGAATACTTATTATCAGAATTGGAATCATCAGATTTGAAATATACATCAGAATTAGATTTATTAACATCAGACTCAGATTCATTGTCTGACTTAAAATAATCTGTAACATCCGATGATGTATTGCTAAAATTATCATTTGAATTGTAAGCTAAAGTAATAGCTATAGTTTCAGAAATTTCGTTTACACGACTAGTGATTATTTTCAATTTGACTTATTTTATAATATAATCGATTTGAGGATTAGTAAGTCTTAAAATTTTGTCAGCACTACAGGTAACCTGTTAAACCATATATTCTGATATACCTTTAATCTTTTTCAGAGTTACAGGGTTCTATCTATATTCAAATAATTTATTGATTTTTTTTGCTTTACAGGTCATTACTTATAAATATCTAATCAAAACGTCTATAAGATATAGTTTTATTTCATTATAGATCCGCTTTCTTGCAATCAGATCTGTAAGTTTTTTATTATTAGACCTAAGCTCCACAACTTTATCTTCAAACCTTTCAGAGAATAAACACTATAACATAATCTCTGATCACTTTGCTATGATCATTTTATTTCTTGCAACATTCACCTGACAGAATGAATTGGCAAGTTTTTTGATACTTATTGATCTGAAAACTATGGTTTTGGGAGAAGAAAACTTTATAGTCTAGAGTGGATCATCAGATAAGAATAGCTCTTTTAACAAATCTTGTACAAATTCAGTTACTATACTTGAGGAAGCCTGAACATTCTCACTATTCTTGATCGGTAAGATATGCTCTGGTAAGCTATCAGAAGAATTTTCTTTCTTTGATCTTTTCATCTCTACATTTCTATCTATCTCCAGAGAGACACTGGAAGGAATATTGACAATTTCTTCCTCTGGTTTCTCATGTGATAATTTTGAATTTTCAGTAAATCTCTTAACATTATTAAGGGTTTTTATATCATATGATAGTTCAGAATTTTCAGAAAGTCTGAAGTTTATATCATATGATACTTTTGATTCTACCGTGAAATTTGCAATACTCTTTTAGATTTCTTTCTGAAAGATACCTACAATGACTGATTGTAATGCAACCGTCTCTATTTTACTAGAAGATTCTGAAGAAGTACAGTTTGTATTAATCTCTGGCTCATCTGACTCCTCAAATTCTTAACAGCTTCTGATATATAAGTACTACTGAAGGTACCATCTCAGCTAACTAATTCACGCTAGAGTTTCTTTTTCTTATTGCGTCACCTAATATCTTCACCAATACTTTTCTTATATATCTCACCCAAGAAATTATCCATCTCTTTCTCCTGTAATCAACAGGCTCAGAATTTAAAAAGATATTATCGTCAAAGCAGAAATGATATAGGATTATTAGAATATAATCGTGATCGAGTATATGATCGATATGAAAAATGGAAGGCTA